ATTCCATTTGATGTGACAAGCCGCAAACAAAACCCAAATTTGGTCCAGGGGAGGTGCTTTCCAAGCGCTAAAGTTGACGTATCTGCCCGCATGCGCTTTCGACTTAAATGCTTACCGTCAAAATCAGATGGAGCAGGTGGCTGTTGCCAATTAAAAATACGCCGTAGTCGATTCCAAATAAGTAGGTAGAGGTTGTAAACAGACGTGGCGCGTAGTGATACACGAATCAGTAATGGGGCGCCAAACAATCGTGTGATGTGTGCGTTAGTAAAGCTGTCTGTTGATCGTTCCACTCGCCGGTGCACTAGAAAGACGAATGCCTCACTTTGTTGGCGCTCAACTACTTTTGATAATGGTATTTGGTACTGACGGATCCCGGAAGGGTACGCCACGTTCACAGTAGCCGAACTTGCGCTACTTCCGATCACACGAGCAGTGACAGCATCTTTCGCTTTTTCAATACGAACAAAGACAGAAGTTCCTATAGGAAAGACTTTGTCTTCCTCTTCATTATCGTTGAAATAACCACCTTCTGCGGGCAGAGACAATGGTGAGTCTTTTTCACTTTCATTATGATCAGCCAAAATCGTGCTATCTACTAATGCACAATTGGCTTGCTCCAAAGTCCCACCCTCTGTAAATTGCTTCCCCTTCACAACACATGTGCTTTTTTCTTCTTGGGTCACTGTGTCGTGCAGCTGATCAGGTAGACATGCTTGCACTAGTGATCTTAGTGGTGGAGATAATATGTCTTTTTCAAGGTCCAGCTGAAAAGCTGTAAGCTGATCCTTTTCATGAATATGTGTCAGTGGTACTTTGTCGTCCAGAACCATTTCGACAGTGTGAGAATTGGAAATTCGCGCAAGCACCACTCTATTTAGGTCATCTGCGTCCAATAACTTGTATGCACTTTTTGCTTCATCCTTCTCCAACCCCTCACTTTCTGCCTTTTTCAAAAAAAGTGCCACCTGCTCTTTCACAATCTTCACATTATCATTATTTCGTACTCGCACTGAAAAGCGCAAAGGAACGCGATCGGTGCAAAAGATTATTGTTAGCACAATAGATCGTGAGTTGCTTTCAGGTAGTGACAGCTGTAAAAAGGTGAAAGGCTCGAAGCGTGCTGATTCATACCGGCATATCGAGCATTCCAACAGGCTCTTATATTGACCAGTGAACAGCGCAACGATTACAGAAAATTCCCGTTTTTGATGATTTTGCCACCATTCCTCAGCTACCAAAGCGTCAGGTCGTCCATCGCTATCAGGTTGCTCTGTGTACGGTTTCTTTACGACGCGATTTAAATCTTCGCTGAGACTACTGAGTAAGCAAGCAAGTAGCTCCTGCGCGTCATGTTGGTCAGACCCAGCAAACTGTGGGTTACACTTCGCGAGAACCTTTTTGAACTCGTTTGGAGCAAACCGTTTACGATCAGAAGTCCAAAGAACTCGCAATAGTTCGCCAAAGGCCGCAGTTAGCTTTCCGTTGGTGCCATCCCGATTTCGTAAATTAATATCTTTGAGATAGGCTTCGTTTTTGAAATATTCTACTAACAATCGTGTATGGCTCAAACACTGCAGCGCACTACTCATGTAGCACGTGTTACCAAGATTGTCGAGTCCTACTAAGCCTGGTCCTGTAAATGCGTCCTTGGAAAAGCGTTTTTTGACAACGGGAGACGCAAGCACAGGATCTACTTCTATTGTTGGAGATCCAGTTTCACTTCCAGGTCCTACAAGATTGATGAAAAAGGATCGTCAGTGCGCGTTTGCATCGATCGCACGTGACTAGCATACCTCGTTGCCCTAACGCTTCGCCAAGATTCCCTCTGGAACATATGTCAGACGTACGCATAGACGAGCGTTGTTCGCGTTGTTGTTTTTTCGGTGTAGCGCCAGGCTTGCCAGGCTCACTGTCGCAAATTCGATCATTTCCTTCACTAGACTGATGATTGCTGGTCCTTGATGGTGTAGAAATGGTCGTACTAACACTTTGTGAAAGCGGCCACGAACCATCATCATCTTGAGCTTCAAGCAAGAATACGCTGTCTTGCGTCAGCTTTATAAGTTCATCCGGATACTCATCACCTAGATAAATTTTGTGATCAGGCGTCTTCTCATCAAAGTACCACAATCGAGCTTTGTCCATCAATTTCAGCAACAGCAGAACACGACAGGTAGCCTCGAGTAGACTAGCTGGCGTACTTAATCGACTGAGCAAAACTTCTTCGCCAGATCGAATTACACTACCATTCGAAGGATCCACGCGCGCAACTCGTAATATTAATGGAAATAATTCAATTTGAAGCTCTGTTTCTGATTTGTTTTGAACCTCGATAATATGGCGTACCAAGTCGGGTCCTCCACTATACCATGTGAGCAAAACGGAGTACACATGCGACGGAATCATCTGTGAAACGAAGCATCATTCAGTTACTATACGCGGCAAAGTACATCAGGCTGTTACTGGTCTTACATAGAAATCTCTAGCCAGTACTAGCTTCTCTTTGAGCCTCCTGCTTCCACTTTGCATCAGAAGACTCCAATTGGCAATCGGTCCAGGTCGAAAAACTTTGCTGCCGCTTGTACCACTGCTAAAGGTGGAGGTGCGTAAGGCTACGTTCCCTCGAATATTTTTTGCTGATTCAACCAATGTGTTCGGAGGAATTTGAGGCACAGGCAATGATCCATATGGACTTCCGTTTTTTAGATCCATGCCTACATAATCGCACCATTTTCGCCACCATTCAGCCCCCACTAGGTTCCAAGTCTATATAATCAGTAATAACATTACGTCTGCGTGGGTCAAGTAGCAATACATGTACTCTACTAATATCTACAGACGTACTTGTCCAACACCCATAACACGAGCAGCTTCACGCCAGTGCTCATCCACAATTCTTTTTTCAAGGTAAGCTGACTCAGGTTTCAATCCAAACAGAATGCATGCTGCAAAAGCTAGTTGTTGAAGCAAACGCTCCACAACTACCGATCTGGTCGCCCATTGAGTAAATCTTGTTATATCCCACCCTATTTCGGCAGTCTGCGTTGCCAACATCTAAAATAAAAAATATTGCGAAATTACCATACAATAGTGTCAGCTTAGCCAACACTGTCGCCCTTTGACACAACATGTTCTGCACCTCTTCGATATCTCGGATTTTCTCTCGTTCTGCATCCTCTTTGCTGTCAATTGTGTTGCAATAAGCGGCAACATGAATAAAGTTCGTCATTGTTGACAAATCTAAGGTCATAGTCGTACTTCGATCAGCTAAAATCCGAAAAATGTGACAGATCTTGTTCTCCTTTGAGTTTTCTCTACAAAAATCCGACAAGAACTGACAAAACTCCTCAAAAAGCACCAAATTAGGCATGGCAGTGCATGAACAGAACCTGCTTAAAAGCATCTCTGGGATAAATCCCTTTGCACTTAGCAAGTGGACGAATCGTGCGCTCGGTGTTCTAGTGCTTGCTCCTCCTTTAAGCTCAAACATCTTCTGAAACTGCCTTTCCAGCGCCGTGACCTCTGCCAAAGAGAATGACGTCGCTTGTGTGATGCGTCGACGAATAGCTACTGGGTTGTACGTTTTTTCCAAAGCTAAAATTTGCGGATCTTCGTCAGCGCCGATTTTTGCCGCTAGTACTGCTAGCCATTTGACTAATAGTACATCTCCGCGCTCATCTTTCAGTCGCACGACCTTTTTGAACTCTTGCAAGCTGAGAACAGATCGACCGTAAAAGATTTTATCCAAAAATGCTACCGTAGTGGTGTGTCTTGCTCGTCTGCGGCCGTAAATAACGTCCATAAATCTATCTAATATCTCACGAGAGACTTCACCGGTTGTGTCCAGGTCGTAAATTATATATAGTAGCTCTACCTGCTCTTCATATGTACCATGCTTGAGCCAAGCCAAACCACTAAGTATATTGTCAAGGCTCAACTCGCCCGAGTGTTCAGTATCCAGCACTTGAAACAAGCGGTCAGAGAGCGCGTGCGGAATCATGGTGAAAGCTCCAAGGACCTTGTTTCGGAACACATTTTTATGAAGTAAAGACTTACTTGCCTTATCTGATACTGCACCGACGGCTATTGGTGAGTTGGTACTACTCCCGATGGTGGTAGAAGAGCTCGCATAAGACGAAGGAGTTGCACCTGACGACGTCAATTCGCCTTCAACGCGGCATATTCGCCAATATCCGTCCGTGAAGCGCTTGACTTCATCATCACTTAGACGGGATACATAGCTGTTCATGGCACTGGCACCACCCGCTGCCGGGATGCCCATACTCATGACGCTACCCATGTTACTGACTGATCTTCTGTAAAAGGGGCTTTAATGCGACTTGAACATGAATTGTACGTAAAATTGGGTTCCAGATTAACGTTTAAATCCTAGAAAACAAGGCAAATTCCTTACTATATGTTTATTTCGTGTACAAATTGATCGGAGTAGCCGAGAACCTCCCATTCCAGCGAAGCGGATCGTTATGTTCGCGTGCCGAGGTTATGCGTGCACGCGATACACTCTTCTGTGGCGTGCAGCCAGATTGAATATACATCCGCTGGATCCGCTGAAAAGCGCAAAATGTCATAGCTTTTGTGTGACAAGTTCAAATTTGCCGATACTTATTAGGTCAGCATCCACATCGCTGCTACCAGTACACGCTCGCTTTCTTTCTCAAAACGTCAATATTTCGCAGTGCGACGACAACCTTGATGATGTTACGATGGATCGAGAAACAAAGCAGCCGCGAAACACACGCCTTATCACGCTTGACAGACTTGAAGACGAATACATGATGCGACTCAAGAACGCAGTGGAATCCACGGACGGTGCGGCCGCGTGGCGAACGGGATTGGATATTTTTCATGAGATTCAGCACGAGAAAGGACGGGGCCTAGGATTGGAAGTTTCTTCATTCCTCATAGAAGTGCTAGGTACTAGACGACGCGTGGACGACTGCATGCGAGTGCTAGCGTATTCTCGGGTGCACGGCGTTCGTCCCCGCATTCAAGCTTATTCGAGTGCAATTAGCTGCTGCTACAAAGAGGCTCAGTATGGTTACGCCCTGCGCGTATTCGAAGTTATGCGTAATGACGGGTACGTGCCGCAGACTGTGACGTACTCCCACGCTCTGTCATCGGCCCTTAAGTCAAGCCAACACGAGCTGGTGCTAGAAATCTTTGACGACATGATCAAAAACCGCCTGGATCTCAACATAATCATATACAATAACATTTTAAATAGCTGTGCGCGAGCGGGAGATGTGCACAGTGCTCTCGGCGTGCTGCAAGCTATCCGTCAACGTCAACTAGAGATGACGCAGTCGACATACCATTCGCTTGCTATATGTGCCGGTAAGACTGGCAAATGGGACCTGGCGCTGGATGCCTTGGATACAATGCAGGCAAACGGCTTCGAACCCACATCGACTATTTTCAATTCAGTCTTTTCCGCATGCGCTAAAAGCAAGCAATGGGAAGCAGTAGTTGAAGTTTACGACCTTATGCCAGATGACCTCCGCCAAAATTTACAGGGTGTATATCTAGGTGCAGTTATTATGGCCCACGCTAAGGCTGACAGCGAGGAGCTTAAGTTGCGTGGATTGGACATTTTCTACAAGCACAAGGAAATTCAGTCGGAAGAAAGCCAACTTAATTTATTTGCTTATAATGCTGCTCTGATTGCAATGTTGGAGACGAATCAGCTCGAAAAAATGCATCCTTTTGCCATTGAAATGAAGAAGCTAGGGATGAAGTGGGACACAACAACCTATCAGTCTCTTATTCTGTCATACATTCGGGCCGGCGCCGTGGAGACAGCAGTGCAAATGCTGCAGAGTAATGCCAAGCGGATGGGTAAAACGACCATGTGTTACCGCGAAGCCATTGATTTTTATGACCAAAAACGCAAAAACCCTCGCGAGGCAGTACGCCTCACGATGCAGATGATGCAATTCAACAAGCGTCTGAGCCGCCTCGACTGGCACAACGCTTTGCGGCTGGCGCTTCAACTGCCTGAACGCGCACCGTATTGGAATTTCCGTAAGTGGATGGCTATTCGCGCGAAGGGTATCATTGAAGACGTGCCGCCACATCTAATGCTACCCTCACACGCAGATCAGCGCCGGTCGCTTCTGCAAGGTGACACGGAAAGCGAAGAAAGCGCTGAAGTTCCTTACCAGCTGGGTGACTATCACTCGCGTAAGCGAAGACTCAATTGCAGACAGACGGTATCTGGTGACGAACAAAGGTTTCTCTAATGCGTTTATTAATAAATCTGTGTCTGGTTACTCTATTTCTTCAAAAGTTTCAAAGTCAACCAAAGATTTACCGTTTTAGCACCAGAGGGGGTGATTAATTGACATTTTTGGTGAAATGCACGTTACTACTTAGCTGTTCTAGCGAAGCTTAAATGCGTTACGATGGATCGCTGTCTGAACGTGAGTGAAGTTTATAGAGGCCTAATTGATTTTTATGTGAATCGTTTTTGGGAATGGGGGCCACTGAAATATTGGCCTAAAGCTACATTTCGAAATAGAAAAGTGAGTGTCTTTGAAATATCGTCTTTGTCCATACCATTGTTGTTTCTGGTTACTCACGTTGATAAAAGTGCTTCATCCCCCGATACTACTCGCATTCAATTGCGTCTCTTCTGAGACTTTGATCATACCTTACTATTTAGTTGACATTGCAACCGACACTTCTGGCCTTAACTTATCTTAGCTTCGATACTGAGCGCGAACCTGAGGATTTCAGCAATGGAATCATTATTTCGACCGTGGAGACCCTGACGCGAACATCAAGAAGTTTTTCAACGTACCGACGGGTGCCTTTTCTCGTACAAAAAGCTCAACGTAGACCTATACCGACGGTTTATACAAGATCGTTGACTAATCCAAGCGTGGTGCAATTATTGTAGCCACGGAGACATTTCAGTTTGCATTCTCTTTTCTAGGACTACACGTGTATGTACAATAAGCATATAATAGGAACCTACAAAGCAAAGACTAACTTTTTGGTCTAACTTGCATGAGCTTTTCGCAATGCGATCACAGCTGCACACGTGCAAATAATTGCAGCACCCACAATACTCCAGTAATTTATTCTTTCCCCGAGCAGTAGGTAGTCCCAAATGAAGACACAAACGACATCCAGATAGCGCATTACTGAAGCGATACCAGCCTTCTCAATCTGGAAACCTTTTGTCAGCAACAGCTGGCCCACGAATGTAAACAAGCCGCTTCCAACGATAGCCAGCCAAATGCCAATATTTGAAGGCATCACGAAAGTCTGTTCTCAAAAGCTAATGTCACTACGAACATCGCTTAAATACACTTGTATATCTAACAACGTACCCGCTGCACCAAAAGCATATACAAAAGCGATCCAATCGAGCTAAATAGCATAAAGTAGTGCACAATGACCATAAAATGAATGCGCCTCAGCTTTCGCACCGAAATGAACACGAGCGCCTGGCCAATGGCACCAAGTAAAGCCGATCCAATGGCGATCCACGAACCATCTGTGGCTACTGTAGCATGGGCGTATCCAAAGATAAAACCAGGACGAACGACGCAAATCAAACCTCCAAATGATAAAAGTGCACACACAAAGCTGAGAGTGTCAATGTGCTCATGTAGAATACAGGCTCCCTACAGATGATCACAATTAACAGTGCACTGCGACACCAAAACATACAAACACAATCAATGTACCAGAAAGAAGGTGAAAACGGGCGACGTGAAGACGAGAGTACTCGCGTCAGCAAGCACCATCTGAGAGACCGCGTAAAATGCAAAGGAAATGGAAGCAAATCCAGCAACACAGCGATATAGTAAAATTCGTCGGTCTTCTGGCGCGACGTAATGTGTCTTACCGCTGTACAAAATGCACACCTGAACAATAGATTTAGATATTCGCTAACTCATCATCGCAACAAGATTTGCTGTTCATAACGTACGTAATTGAGTATCATAGCGACGATAGAGCGCCAGAAAATGGCCTCAATTGACGTCATTGTGTACGTGTTGAACTTGATTAGAGTGGACATGAGGCTGAAACACACGGCCGACAGTGCCACACACGAGATGCCAAGTAGTTTGTGGTGTTGATCTCCGGTCTCACTCTTCAAAGGCATGGTTGGCAGCAGCGACTGGTGCTCCACATCGTATTTTCTTGCTTCAGCCGTCATGGTTTTAAGAGATTATTCAATGCTGTTTATGTGGTGGTCTTAGTTCAGACGGCCGAGTAGTCGGTTACTTCTTTGTTTGGCCAATCACTAGAATACCACAACGGGTACTTACTTACTTATACACACTCAGAATTTGGCTCATTTTTCTACCCTCGGTTGAAATTGCAGTGACACTTGTAGTCATATCAACATAGCGCCAAGTGGTAAATTATACAAAGTCCGTTATCGCTTGTTTGTTTCTGGTTTAGAAATCGAGATAACCATTCGCGTCTACCATCCATCCCCTCTACTAATTAATCGAAATGACTGTTGTGATCGTACATACCATTTAATGCCATTTTTCGACCAGAAAAAATGTACAGCAGCCAGCATGTCAGTGGACTTGAAGTAGTGTGATGTTGTCTGACTTGATTCGTGCATATAGGGTTGCCGTACACTTTGCACGAAAAAAAACTTTGACTCAGTCCCCGTTAACAAATGCACAGAGGATAGTCTCATGCGCTCCTACCAGGAGCGGAACCGAGAGCCTCTAGAATAACACTGTTATTCTGTGCTGCTCTTTCAAGAAAAGATATATCTAACATTTATTTTTCTACACTCATACTGAATATATGCGCTTTACCTTTTCTTAATATCGTCTTTCTTGTCTGATGGCAGTGTACTTCGGTTTTTGTTTCGGACTTCTAATACAGATTTGAGCGGTGGACGAAACATGTGAAAACGCTCATTGGATCTTTGCAAAATTAGAAAATTTCTAGACCAATCAAACATGAAAGGAGTCTTGCTCTATTGCGATCTCCCGTACTCAAATTCAGTCAGCAGGACGACTGGCACTGGCAGCTAACCACAGAACTTTCGGTCTTTGCAATCGAGACGGATCAGCTTCTTCGGTGTTTCTTGTCGTAGAAGCTTCGGAACGAAGAGCTCTTGCTGTGACGGGGAGGGCGAGCTCAGTGGTGATCACAATAGCTCGGAACCTTTTACCAGTGGATCGGGCGTGTAATGGGAATTGCCCGTCCGTGTACACACACTTTCTGAGGAAGCCTTAGGGTCAGCTGTAACGGGGTTGGTTACACATGCCCTAAGCGGGTCACAAGATTTGTGCGTTCGTACATAGTTGTGTATTACACAGTTAGTGTAATCACACAGTGGTGTGGCATGATTGCCAATAGTAATGTATATTGCCACATTAATTAGGTTTTGCTATATTTAGTAGGTGTTACTATATTAATCAGGAAACCTAGGGCTTTAGATTCTGGCGGCTCTGCCGCAACTAAGACAATTAAATACAGTTTCGATTTTGTACAGACGTGTTTGCTTTGGTTTGGGATTTTAGTACTTAGAAGTAGTGGATGCGATCCGCTACACTTGTACTGGTTCTTGGAAAGAACGTAAGGTCGGTGACCTCAGTTTAGCTTCCTACAAGCAAGGAGCTGAGCTCTTCGGGGCTGGGCTCTGCCGCCCTCTACCACTTTGAGGCTCAACCGAACCAAGTCCCGCCCCGCGCCTATTGGGTTTTCTCGTTTCCCCGCATTAAACCAGATTGGTTAGAAGCGGGACGTCGGTTCGACGAACCATTCGCGCCTTGGGCAGGGGACAACCAATTCGAAGGTGACAAGTGTCTTTACAAAACACCGTCGGGTATTCGAGCGCTGCTCAGCAGCTCGAAGCTCTGCTCCTCGTCCTCAGCATAGCTGAGATTGATCGGCTTAGACCGCTCGACGAACAGACAGAGTGTGCATTCTAACCAAGTCGTTCCGACTTAAAGTTGAAGTCGGTATCCAATGCCACATTCACCACTTCTTCAAAAGAGACAGATGCGCACAAAAAACTTACGTTCTGGTCGCGCCAGGGCGGAGTCCCCCCATAATGTCGGTCACTGCGACCGCCTCGGGAAGAGGATATGTTACCATCCCTGCAATAAGAGCTCTCAACCGTTGGCCAAAGTCCACCGACTCCTTCTCTACATCCTTAACTTCGAAGGTCTTAACGCTCATCATGAGCGGCATGGATCGGGAGGTGTCATCCGTCGTCGACGGTAGCGTCATGGACGCAGTCGACGCCGACATCTTCTGCTCTAGCAGAGCTTTACATAGATTAATTACGCCATTAGACGCACGCCGATCGCTTCAGGACCTTGCGAAGCAAGGTGTTGCACGTCCTCAAGGCCAAGCAGAGGCATCAGCATTTTAAGCTGTGCTCGTGAACACGGAACGTGTGTACAAGCCGGGCTTGCTGGTCGTAAAGCGACCATGAAGGGCTTTGATAAACCATGGAAAATCCTTATCGGTTCTGGTGCGTCGGGAAATTATGCTCGACGCTCCTTGATGAGAGGAAGTCAGCTGTATGCTGAGGTGCTGGAAGCGCGGTTGAGTGATACCGTTACTGTAAGCTTATCAAAGGGGAGTTGTGCAGGGTCCCAGTGGAACTTTGGTGAGTTATGAACCCATCTCGGCTAGAAAGCAGAAGCGCTATGGACGCGCACTGGACCGGGACGGTCAATGTGCTGGATATCGGGTTATCCGAGTTGTCAACCACCAAAGTTGCTTTGGACAAGAGCCCCGAGCGTGGCTCGCCGGCTGTACGTGGAGTGACACGTTATCCACTGAGCGCAGTTCAAGTAATAAAGCGGTGACTGCATGCCAAGTGTGGCATGGTTGGCCAAGGGCCGAGGCATCAAGGGCGAGGCCCTTGTGATGCGCGTGGAGTGGCACGTAATAGACTGAGTACTGTTCATGTACCGAAGCAGTTGCTTCATAACAAGAGTGGCATGATCGGACGAGGGTAAGAGGCATCCTGGGCAAGGCCCTACTGATGCGCGTGGATTGGAACGTTATCCACTGGACAAAGACTGCGGAAATAGCAGCTCTTCGTCGGATGTTGTAAATAACATCAGGGCCCTGGTGAAGCAGGAATTGGGGCTAGCACTGGACGACGCTGAGTGCATTTCCCACTGGTCTCTATGAGACGTATAACCTCTGTGAAGAGGAGACGCGACGCCGTATGCTAACTGCAAGATGCAGGGTGTCGACCCTGACCATGGATGTGTCTACCGTAGACGACAGTAGACAACTATACACACTTGTCAACGGTATGACGGGGGAGTAAGGCGGCGACGTCACCCTAGAGGCAGCAGAATGCTTTGGCTGATGAGTTGTCAT